AGGACGTAAGGCTTCGATCTATATACATAATATCGTGTATCTGTATGTCTGTTATCGAATGAAAAGTTAAACATCGCACGGGTTCTCACTAGTGAGAAAATAATTTCAAGGTAGGGTGTAAATGTCGCTATTAATGTATGTAAATTAAAAGATGATGTTCATATACTACACTCACAACTATAACGTTGTAAAGTCCTCGCAAACTCTTAAACTATATCATAGTCTGAGACCTGTTCCACACACATATAACCCTCAACAGCCCATTCCAAAATCAAAACACTAGAAAACAAAATATTAATATAAAAAAAAGAAGCTAAATCTCAAATCTACCTCAATCAAAATCCTTATTTAATTTTTACCTCATCTTCTATAATGTGTAGAGTGTTTTTAGAATTTCATCAATTCATAATATTATTATTTTTATGAAAGGCTTGTTAGTAAAATAGTATTCAAAGGTCATATTCATAAAAGAAATATTGTTAAAAATTGTTTTGAAGTATTTACAACTGATCGGTATATAACTTTTTCGATTAATTCACACTAGTGCCGCTTCGTTCGTACTTATACCACAGATAAAAGTCTTGTTACTCAGTATACTCTCAGAGTTTTAGTTATAAAGAGCAAGAATTTGTTGATAAAACTGCAATATTCATTTTTCATGACTCTTGGACGTTTAGATTTTTTTCTTAAAGTCAGCTGTAAATACACTAAAGCAAGTTTTGATAATCATGAATAAAAATATCAGCCCACTATACCAAGAAGTATGTTAAGTATTTGACTAGTTAGTAGAGACAAAAGCACTCTGTATAATCTTAAATTTCATTGGACGAATTCTGTCTATACTGAGTAGATTGTATATCTTATAAATATTTTAAAAAATCTGAGAACATCTCTTTTTTTTTACTTGAGGTCATTTTTTAGATTTCTTTTTGCTTCAAATTAATAAACTTGAATAAATAAATATCCGCTCATAGACTTTTTTCATAACTTCTAGAATTTCTAGCGAGAAAAAAATGATATTTTTTTTTCGATATTAGAAATTATTTACTATTATATTATTATGATAATAGTAGATTCGAATGTTATTCAGAAAATCATCGAAAAACAAACTAAATATATTTATATCATATAGGTTAAGAAATTCTACGAAAGAATTTGTAAGTTATATTATATCAATTCGATATTATTGTTCTTATTTTCATTATTGCTTTAATAAATATCTTTAAGTATGATAATAATTTCTTTTCGTTACTAAGAAAACAGATCTAAAAACAATTTAGAATTCGGAAAAAATCAAAAAAAAATTTTTTGATAAAACTATAACGAGTTTTCATCAGTTTAATGAAAGTCTTTTTAGTTTAATGAAACTACTCAATGTATTACGACGATATTGCATTACAAGTATCAAACATGGCTGATGAATGATAGTTTATGCTTAATTGAAAAAAGGATTTACTTTTATATAAAAAAAAGTTATACAATTAAAAGAGCAGCTTAGACACAAATCCTAATTAATGTATTATAGAGATCGTTTTTCAACATCTATCATGAAAAACTTAAAGTGCACACGACTTTAAGCATCTTGATATTTCATTTCATCATTTTTTTTCATCTTTCGAACATCCTATACGATACGAAAATGAGCTGAATATCGCTGAAAGAATCGTAAGGTTTCCTTCTCAAATTCTAATACTAAACTAGAACATAGAAATCTCCTTAGAATTTCATGTTAACCAGTTTTCTCTTCCTCGACATCAAAAGTATTTCCTTATGATGTGCTTTTTTTTAAAGACTACGTTACAGTAACACTGTCTCATTTATAATACTTTCTCGTGTATGAGAGACAAAAATCTCTTCGATAATGACGATCTCTTTTCTTTATCGTTCATTGTAGTAATTCCTAATATTCCGGAGAAGTTGTCCTGAGTATTGATTAGGATCGACATTTGTGTACTAAACAGAGATGAGCAACTGCACTGTGTCTTCCTCCAACTCCACATAATTCCAGTCCTATTTTCTAAGATCCTACTCCAACTCCAATTTAACTTCAATTCGAGTCGGATTTTACAAAACTGAACTTCTGCCAAAACACTCTTAAATACACATAAGTTTTTGAACATAATTAAATCTACGATTGATATAAATTAGTAGCATATTAATTTATTGGTTTATAAACTTTCTCATAAAATTCAAAGATAGGCACCTCCATTCTATCCTGTTCCTACTCCATTTTCACTCTGATAAGAAAAAGCATCAACTTCGGAGTTGAAATTGCCCATCTCTGATATCAACCATTTCAAAATACTTACTCTTCAGATCCTCCTGAATATATCCATAACATGCGAGCTTACAGAAAACTTCTCAGAACAAGTACTATATAAGGATTATAGCATGATCCTCATAGAAGATACTCATTATTTTTTAGCTTTTCAGATTTTGACAGAGTATCTTATTTAGTCATCAAGATTCTCTTTGAGGACCCTAATACAATGGTTTGAAGATGGTGTTCATCAAAAGTTAAGAATAGCATTTTAGAACACTTTCTTTTCAAAGCCCATAAAATCCATAGATCCCAATGTTTGTCACTGGAGAACTCCGTTCGGATTGACATCCATCTTTTCAGCATTTGTAAAAGAAGAAGTTCCCTCAGATTAAATAGATTCGCATGGAATCCTCTCAACTTTGTTCAGTTTCGCCTGTATCCAAACCTTCTTATGATCCTACTCAGAGTACATCACGGTTGTTCTTCGAACAGCTTCACATAACTTATCAAAAGCCTTATAAAATTTCACCGGCATTCTCTATGCAAATACGTAGGAGATTCTTCGGCAGATCTATATTCATCATACAGAAAATCATGTATCCTTGAGGTTTCCTAAAAAACATAGGGATTAGGTTTGATATTTTGTTGTTCAACGATTCGATATTCTTCTCACAAGATACAGATAGAATCTTCTCTGATGTTCATATAAATGATCATTCTGCCAAAAAGATTCTGAATCCTTGCAATTCTGAATGAAATCCTCAGATCCTTATGTTTTTCTATCAAAAACTTACATCGAATTAGTATTACTCTTTCTTGGAGAACCTCCTTACAACAATCTCCAGGTATTATTTTTATGATCAAAAAGATCTTGGCAAAAACTAGAAGTGACATAGATGTAAGGATCGTTATCAAATCCTTTTTTTCTCATAAGAAACTAGGAAAAGACTTCTGAATTTTTATCTGTGGAATGAGCATTCTCAAAGACGAATCTCGTATTTCTAACGCTTGCTCTCACGAGAGACGAAATTCCTTCGATAACGACGATTTCTTTTCTTTTTTGTTCATTGTAGTAATTCTCAATATTCCAATCGATGCCCGATGGAAACAGAATGGAGTGACCGTTGCTGGAGGTCATGGAAGCGGCAATGCCACCAATCAACTCTACCACCCTCAGGGTCTCTTCGTTGATGATGATCAAACGATAGTCATCGCTGACTACGACAATCATCGTATCATCCAATGGAAGATGGGTGATACGAATGGACAAGTTGTAGCTGGTGGCAATGGCTACGGAAATCGATTGAATTAATTGAATTATCCAACCGATGTGTTGATCGACAAAGAGACAGATAGTCTCATTATTTGTGATCGAGGGAATAGACGAGTTGTACGATGGTCTCGTCGTAGTGGTACAACTCAAGGAGAAATCCTCCTCGACAATATCGATTGTTATGGATTGGCCATGGATGATCAGAGATATCTCTACATCTCTGACGTCGACAAACATGAAGTAAGACGATTTCGAAATTTTCAGTTTGATATTTTTTTTTAAACGATCAAGCTCAAAATTTCAGAAAATCGATTACAGATTCTGATTACCTTTGATCAAACTTTATACACAACGATAATCTTCCTTCTCTATTCCACTAAGGCAAACCTCCTCATGCTCATATGAGCTATACACCCCTAATTGTTGCACGATTAAGTTTCTAAATGTTGTTTTCTGGGTAAAAAAAGATAAAATAATAGATATAATCGAAATAAGAGTCAGATAAATTCCTTTGGTGTTCAATTTCTATGAGGATATAACTTCTGAGTAGAGATTTCAGATAATATAAGAAAGATTGTAATTTATTTTAGTCAAGGTAGCATCCCTAAGTGTATCTTTGTTAGCTCTATTTATTTTATATGAAGCGGCAGAATTATGTGCAGGATAAAATTCTGTCGGTGACTCTTTTTTATCTTCTGCAAAGAAAAAATAGTATTAGATGATAATGAATTTTTTTGAAAGAGGCTGTATTTTAAAAAAAATTTTTTTTTCAAAATTTTTTTTGGTTAAAGAGTCAGGGACAGATCCAACAAATTTTGCAAAATCTCGTATCGATAAAAATGTTCTATTCATATAGCTCTGAATATTTCAGAAATATAGATTCTTCAAGTTGGAAATACGTCACAAGAGGTTCGCGCTAAAAAAATGTGTCTAGTACAAAATTTCTAGTTCAAACATTGTTCCTTCTAATAAAAAAAACAAAACTCTTGATTTAACCAGTCGACAATATGGCACAGTAGAGTTTGTCATTTTTTCAAAGGTTTTTGCATTGCATGTTAGTGAATGTTATAATCCATCTAAAAAAGAAAATATTGATTCCTGAATCAAGTCAATCTGAACACAATTTAACTTACCGATGCTAAATGTGCGGATTCCGTTCACTTCTATTACTTAGGTAATTTCTGAAGATTGTTCTTTTTTAGAATTTCCTTTTACTAATCAAGTAAAAATGACTGCAATGAAGACCGAACCCGAACGTTCGAGTTCGGTATGTACCTATCGATTATCTTTCTTCTAGACTGAAAAAAAATTCTTATTTATATATTTTATTTATTTCTATAAAACAAATAACTAAAATGTATAACTATGTTAGTTGAATAAATATGAATTAATATTAATAAACTATATAATTAAAATATTTAAGGTCTATTGTTTCGTTTGTTTAATTCAATAATCATGAAATTACTAGGGTAAACGTTCTAATCGAACTTGTTCACCACAACTCGTTTGAATAATTAATTTTTTCTCATCTTGAACTTCTAATTTTTGTAATTCAGAAATCAATTTTTTGAATATATCTTCTTTATGCATCTCTGTTGGTGAACCATGTATTTCTGTTGAAAAAAAATCTGAAATTCTCCATTGATTGGTTGCAGAATTATGTTTCAAAGTACAATTTAAATTATTCACCACGTGCATACAAAGTTTAAACATATGTGGATCTAGACCATAACCTTTTATTTTAATGTTACAATTAACACATTCAGGATGTTGAGAATAACCAATAATTTTCCAATCACCTTCAACATCAGTAATATGTGTTGTCATGATGATGTTATTGAAATTGAATAATTAATCTTTTAAGAAATCTAGAATAACAATAGAATTAGAAAAAGAAACTATTTTTTTCTTTTGTTTTATAACGTGGTTTTGTTATTATATAAAAACGAATAAATAATGCACATCTTTATATAGCAAACTGTTAAGAAACGAGAGAATGAGTAGAAAAAGAAAAAAGAAAAATAAAGTATGCACTGTTTGCCTCTGTCCTTTGAGTTTAAATGTATTCCCCACCTTCCCATAACTTTCTCTAGTGTATTATTCATTTCTATTAATATGTCTCAGCTATTTTTAATGTATACATCGCAATTATCTTCTACGGATAAAATAATGAATAATACTAAAAGAAAAAGAAAAGTCTAGGCATCCAGGCATATAACATTAATGATTAATGAAAAAAAGATTAAAGACAAACAAACACAGAAATATAATGTCTTCTAACTATATATTTTGAAATTGCGTATCAAACTGATAAATTTAGATCATCTATAAATGTACTAGGAATATTATCGTAATTTATAAAAGCAGTAGATAGATGAAAAGTTTAACAGCACATTTTAAATTTATTTGTCAAATATAATAAATTATTTATCTGATATTTTTAAAAATTTATTTCAGATTTTTTTCGTTTCCTATTCGACTTGTATTTAAATCAAACAAAATACTAGAAAATTATAAGAAAATATCTATTAGATATTGATTTATTACTTGTCCTATTAGCAATTTGTTTTAAATCATCATCGTAAAGTATTCCCTAGTGAAAAATGAGAAAATGGACGAATAAACTATAGACAAATAATTTTATTTTGTATTTATTTTTTTTGTAAATTCCCGGATGAGTGAATGTAGATAGTTATCAATTTAAAAATATCTGTATTAATTTTTTTGTGGAATAAGCAATACTGTACACGTTTACTTATTATCACTCATTAATTTATTATTTACTGTCCTTAATTCATGTTTTATTGTACTCTCATTCTTTAAGATATAGATAAAGAAATCTTCACTATTAGAAAAAATAGTTAACTATTTTCTTTATTTTTATATAATGAAAATAGGATTTTATTTTTTGAAAGGGAAAAGAAAACATTTAACTTTCTTCGCTAATGATGAAAATTTCTATGTTCGTATTGTTTGCGTTAAAGTATATGAAGCCGATATCAAACTTGTAGTTCTCATTTTGATCATTTTACTCAAATTTCCATTTGTGTGCGCCTTCATTTTTTAATATTTTAATGTTAAATAAAAATTGATGTAATACAACGGTACTAACTAAAAAATATACTTATGAGTATTTTACATAGGTCAGCAGAGTACACAGAAACTAGATAGCAACACTCAATATTACACGGCGAGTAAGAGATCGTCGTACAACAGCTGTCAATGATGGTTCTACTGTAATTTAATGACATACTCATCCTCATACAGATGAGTGCATTCAATGTATCAATCAGTATAAGGATATCATTAAACTGAAGGAGAATCGACGTGACATATAACCTGTGTATGCACTATCCACATGGTGAAAGAAAAATTTTTCTTTCACACACATGAATAAACATCCATTTGACACAATTATCTCAGTCAAACGTAAAAGCTAGAAAAGACGTGTGTATTTGCGGAAGATATTTTTCAAGTCGTCGTACTACAAACATTAACCTGAGAGGTTTTTTAAATATTATGTGCAAAAAAAAAAGAAGTAAATAAACAACAGTGTTAAGTAAATGATGAATTACAACAGTGATCAATTTCGTTTTACACTTTTGTTAGTAGTTGTTATCTCTTGCGATGTCTTGCTCTTTTTCTTCCGAAAGTCACCTAATAATTTTCGTCTGCCAATGTCGTTTTTCATTTATGTTTCGAAACGTCACATTTGACAAATGTTCAAATTTGAAGATTTATTTGAAACTGATCAATTTATTGCATTGCATCTCATTGAAAAACACTAAATGCAATCGAATGGTTTTTGCAAATTTTTATGCACGAGCTTTTCTCCTTCACCATTTCCAACTACGATGATATCACCTTTTGTAGTGCGTTTGAAAAATTTATCCCGACTATATCTTCTATATCATCATGACATTCCATTAGACAGAATGTGTATTGACTATTACTTCGACAAAATCAAGTCACACGAAATGTATCGATCATATCACTTATTTTCTTTGCATTGTTGTCTTTAATTCCATATTTCATAACATTGATTCAAGTTACATCTACTCGTAAAAATCAATGAAAAAAGAATCAGGTTTATACTTTTGAAACATATATTCCGGATGTCTAAACATCAAGAATATACGAACGTATTTATTTTCGATGCATTATAAAACGAACAATATCATTAATAGAGAATTTGTTGGAATTTATTTGAAATAAATTTTCAAAATAAGTCTGAGAGATAATAACTCGAATCAACTGCTCAACATTCATTCACTTGATCTAGAGTTTTTCATCAATTGAAATCGTCGGATACTTTCTCATCTAACGATGCCATTTTTTTTCTAAAATGTTTTCCAGAGCTTTTGACCATAATTTCAAATCATCATAAATACGTTCTTTCCAAAAACGACAAGTTTGTGCTAAATGGACAAGACTTCTTAAGTCTAAATAGTTCAATAAAATCGGAATTATATCAAGAAATGGTTCTTAGTCCATAGTAAATACAACTAAAATAGAAAAATGTTCGTCATAATGTGCATGACATTTGCATCGATTTCAGACATACATGTGTTTTCCGTCATTTGTGATTGAGTGTTTTTCACTATGATTTTACTTTTTTTTTCAGGCGTACTGTGTCTTCGTATTACGAATGGCAATGCAATTACACTAGAAATATGCATATGAGCTGATTACCATGGAGGAGAGAAATATCGGAAGTCCTGTGGATTTTAAACCATAAAATGCTACGACAAGTTTCAGTTCGATATTTTCAATAAATCGTTTTCAAATTTTCATATTACCTTCAATCAATTACTGTTCGACTGAAGATCGATATTGAGCATGAATCAAACTGAAACAAATTCGATTCGTTGAAGTGGACAGATTTCTTTTGAATTTTGATTTTGATTCAAAATGAATGTTCTTAATCAATTTCCGTCTTCCACCACCCACCCTCACCCACACACACATATACAATACTATTGTGAAGTATATTTTAAAGGATCTGAGTGTGAGAATCAAGCAAACAGCGCGATATCATCGTTAATAGTGATTGGTTTTCTTTTCTTTTTCGTTTCTACATTACAAACAGCACAATCTTACTTCTCATTTTAGTATATAGATGTTTGGTATGAAGCCTATCAACATGAAATTAATGAAATAGATACAAAATATGAAAATGGAACCATGGTATATGGAGTCAAGATCTAAATAAACTTAGTGGTTATTATAGTCATCGAGATTTGGCTAAGCTTAAGAGAAACAATCAGAACCAGCTGCTTTTCTGATTCATTATACAAATTCAAGTAATGCTCTCTGATAATCTGTGAGCATCGATTAGTTCTATTCTTGTGTACGATTATGACCAATATTCATTGATCTATTTCATGTGATTACTTAACTATTGTGGACATTAAATTCGACCATGTCTGGTTTCTTTCGTAAGTTCAAATTTATTCTTCTTTGTTTTTCAGTCGAAATAAAACTTTACCAGAATTCATTGTTGAAGAGCTCAAAAAGATGTTAAAACACATGCATGCTAAATCAGACGAGCAAATGAATGCAGTCACTCAAGTGTTTCTTGTGAGAACATACCATCTATTCAACAAAAACTATGAAGAGAACATATGTACAACAAGAATTTTTTGTTATTGATGACAGTCTGACCCAAACAAGAAACTATTACAGAATTATGATATGAATGTCATATGAAAAGAAATCGTATTTGGCACTAATTTGAGCAATAATCAGATTGAACATCACCAATGTTACTTAACAGTTACTATTCATTTCTATAACAGAACAATCCTAACAGAAATCATTTCGAGAAAAAAACTAAACAGAAGTAAAATAGAATACTAAACAAGGTTGCTCTGATCATAACAAAAGTCCACAGATGTGGTTGAAGATAGCATCCATATCTATACTAGATTAGAATCTTCGATGAAAATAAAATGGATTCGTTGTTAAAGTTCAAAGCTAGTGTATTTGCAAACAATCACATTCACGCTGGAATAAATAACTCTGGACGATGTAAATTTATCGATTTCGAATACTTGTTCGTAGACAGAGCCATTTGGAAAATGTCCATCTATACACAAATCATCATGTTCATCGTCATTGTTTGATGATACGAAATCTGGGAACACATTAATAAATATGTTCTGATTCGAAATCCGTTTCATTAATTCCTAATGAAGGAAATAAGTTTCCTATCTTGTTTAATTTTATATCAAAAATAACAAACAAAGATCAATGCTTGACTGAAAAATAAAAACAATAAATAATACAGATGCAAAGTAAAAAATTGGCAGGCTTGAATTAAATAAAAAATAATAAACAGCTTGAATAACAACTATAAATTGTTTATATTGACACCTAAATAAGAAAATAAAGCATCTTCAATGATTTGATAAATCAAATAATAAGCGTATAGAAGAATCAGTTTCAGACTTCTACTATTTATTCTCAATAGAAAAATTGTCGCATTTTGAAAGCCAAACTAAAATTACAGTGTTGGCTTTAGATAGAGAAACATTAATGATATTGATTTTTTGTAAGACTCGAATGTACATTCAGCAAGCACAGAAAATACTTGTAGTTCCCACAAATGATGACTTCTTTTTTGCATCTCTCTAACAACATCTAGGATGTTTGATGTTACGTACACATACCAGCGATTTATTCCCTCATGGATTTTTAGTTTGTTCAAGTAGCCATTTGTAAATCTCTGGATTATTGTATGTTTCTGTCCAAGAATCATGTTTTATATTTGGATAAATTGTTGATTTACAAAGTGGACTATCCAATGCTTTTATTAATGATGATGATGCTGTAACTGGTATTACATTATCTAATTTTCCATGAAAATTCCATATAGGTAGATGTTTTAAAAGTGAAACACGCTGACAATCACCTCCACCACATATAGGAATTATGGCAGCGAAACGCGTAGGTTGATCCATTGCAAGAGACCAAGTACCATAACCCCCTTATAATGTAAATAACAAATGAGATGCATATTAATATACACTACATGAAACGCGCTACTCCTGCATAAACATTTTTCGAATAACTGATAATTATCGAGTTCAAAATTTTCATCCTGAGAAAGAAGGAAAATGAAGTTCCTCGCCATGTTGAGTTTCAATAATTGAGACTCAACTAAATTGAAGCCACTTTGATTTACGTAACAGTAGAAATTTTTTTGCAAATTGCAAAATATTATTTTTGATTTGTTTTTTTTCTTCATTACATAAGAATATTTCTATTCTAGAGACTTCACATGTATTCTATTTTAGCTTTGTAAACACTCTTTTACTGCTACGAGAGTAATAAATTGAAGCTTCCTTACTTACCCATACTAATACCAGTCACATATATCTTATTTTTGTCAATACGATATGTTTGTTCTAATTCATCCAAAAGTCCTGATAAGACCGTTGAATCCCATACATAACCTCGATCAACTTGTGGACTACATGTAATAAAGTTTTCGGCTACTAATTGTGCACATTCCATATTGACATTATCCGACGAATGATTATCTTCTTTACTGGATGAATAAGCATGAACCAATTTTGGAGGACCATGTTTTAGAACTTTATCAATTGGACTATGTGATTCTCCGGCACCATGTAAGAATAAGAGAAGAGGCCAACGTTTTTCTGTTTTATCGGATTCATAATCAGGAGGAACGGATAATAAACATTGATAAATAAATGGAATTGCTGATGTTTTTTTCTGTTGAAATACTTTTAACATCTAAAAATAATACGAATCAAATTTCAAAGTTTAAATTCAATAGGTACTTCTTTTTGATTTGAATTTCTATAACAACTCTTCTTATAGAATAAAACTAAATTCAGATCTATTTTACTTGTTATAATGTTCAAAAGTTTTATTCTAAAATGTTGATTCTGAATGTCGAAAAGCATCAGACTCGTTTATTGACCATACACTTTGCTAAAACTTAGAACTTAGACTAATACTTCTAGAACCAAGATTATGCTCGTTTCTCAGTCTCTGTAGCTACTGCGACGATGAAATTGCAAATACTAATCATTCATCGATCGATTTTCATATTATTAGAATACAACTCAATAAGTCTGATGTTATTCGAACCCAACTTGTAGGTATTCAACAACTTCAACAATCACGTAAACTCATCGTAATTGAAATTATTTGCTTTACAGAACTTTCATTTTCTGTCGTTTTTTCGTCAAATAATTTTTACATATATTGCCATTCATGATATATTTCACTATCATGAGTATGTAAAATGTTGCTCTTTGATAAGAATGCTTAGCAAAAACGTATCTGTAATGAAGATCGATGTAAAAAGCACATCGCCCTATATTTTACATTTTTGATCGACTACTTTTTCTTATGAAAAAAAGCTTGATGGCAAGAATTGATTAATCATGTCGTTACTTAAGTAACAAAAAAAGAATATTCATTGAATTTAATTAGGCAGATAGAATTACAACAAAAATATGTAGGTTTCACTGTACATTATAGTTGATTTTCTTCTGTTTTGTGGTCTATAAAGTATGGAATGTTTGATTTCTATTTGGATATTATTCGTAAGTCTCATCGACGTAATTGTCGTCTTTATTGGTAATTGAGATCAGCTTGAGTTGAAATCATTCAAATCAATTTCGATTCAGTAAATTAAAACCTACACTAGATGACCAATTGTAGTTCAATTGAATAGAGAAAAAGCACCTTCATGAGCTGAAGATATAACATTTTGTTAGTATAATATTAAGCAAGTAATGATGTCAAGTATGGAAATCCAACAGTTTTTTTTGTTAAAATACGAATATTATTAGTAGAAATACTGGGAGGGTCAATGAAGACAAACTAGAGAATTATATTAATACAACATCAAAAAAAAGGATTGAATCGTGCACATTGCTCACGTATTTTGGGTAAAGAATGAAGAATTCATATTTGGATGTTCATTTCTAGAACAGAAAGTGAATAGTACTAATGAAAGTCGAATATTTATTCTTTATTCACAGCTGCAATACAACTGACATTAAAATTTCGCAGTCAATCAGTACACTGAGTCATCAAAACACACATATCGTGTAGCTTTTATTGTTCTGGTTAAATGAATAAGCAAATCAGTTTTAGAACGAACTCCTCTTTCATATGTCCTCTATAAAGGTGTCGCTTTTGTACGGATATAATGATAAGTATATCATTGAAGTTTTTTAACTATAACGCTAAATGTTTACTTATGAAAATAAGTAACAAGCCTTAAATTTGAGCAAACTTTTTAAAACTAAACAATGATCTCGTGTGAATTTTTTTTATGTGTAATATTCGTGACAAGTAGTGCACGATATATAAAACAAAATTACATAAACTTTCGAAGACATTATGATTAATCGAAAAATGAGGAACTCATTTTATCTGATGTCTTATGATTCAATTTGTTTATTTATAAACAAAAAAAATCTGAAAGTAGATGTTAACCGTTATTCCATAATTGTCGTATCAAGGTTATCATTTAGTCACTCTCTCGTTCTATGTCTTCTTCGAAAATATATTTTTGCATTTTATGTGTAGCATAATATTTCTTGAAATTAAGATTTTACTAACACCGGAAGAAATTTGATCTAAAAATTCAACATAGCTTTATATGTAATAAATATTGTCTTGATTTTTCTTAACGTGATATCTTCTCCTATTTTTAAGTAAATGAACATGATGAAGTGATCGTAACAATTTTTTAGACATTACTAGAAAATAAACAGGATTCGATGATGCATCGATGCTATACTTGTCACAGTGACCAAAACAGTTATACCCAAACAATGAACTTATATATATATATCTTCTCTTTTGAGAACAGCATCGCAGTCAGAATAAAATATGAGTCAATCTACTATTTATCTCGTAGATTTATCTGATGAAATACTACTTTATCAAAAAGTAGCTTATGGTGCGGTTATGAATGAAATTTGATAAAACGAAAAAATACCGAAGACAAAAAAAAAAGCATGCCGAAAATTATACTAATACCATTTCAATAGACACTATTCATGTATAAGTGTACCACATGAATGCTGCTACAGATTATTCTAGTAGTGTTGACGAGTAGATATGCTGAAACTGCATTAATAATACTTTCGACTACATTTATGTCATTCATCGTATACGTTGTGTTTGATGTTTAATTTTAAATAATTAAATTATATTACAGTATTTTGAATAATTCATATCTATGGTCTTTTTCTCTACTTGTTTGGTTGATATGAACATAAGCAAATTTTTTCTTTCGATCAAAGTTCGAAATCGAGATATTTCAATCAATGAAATATTCTCATTTATACGACGAAGTGAATCATGTTGAAGTAATGATAAAATTTGTTGTGGTTCACTTTTGATTATATATTCACTTAAATAAATTAAATTTAGACCATCCATACCCGACAAAATACGAGCCATCTGTGGAAGATCGTTTTCAGAAAGCCATCTATGTACATGTATTTCTGTCCAATCTTGTACATTTTCAGGAAATGTTATTGATTGTGATGATGATTGTATCAAACAAGAAGAAACAGGTAATGATCCTACAGTATTTAATTTTGTTTGAACAGGTTTAGTTGAAATTTCATTACGTTCATTAATCATTTTAAGTTCTTTCATCAACATATCGAATGCTTTCGAATATTCATATTTAGTAAAATCAATATACAATAATGAACCAATTAGAAATGCAAGCCATCCATCAGGTTTGTAGTGTTTTTGTAAGAGAATCGGTATGATATTTAATTGTTTTTGAAATGCATATTGTGCTTCAGCTCGACAATAATTACTTCGTTGATATTGTTCACTCATACAAATCATAATAGTTCGAGATTGTTCAATAGCTTCTACCATTGCATCCATAACATTACCATGCATTTGATCAAAATCAATCCATATTCGATAACCTAATTGACTGAGTTCTTCATATAATTGTTTACAAATTTGTTTTTCTTTATGTGAATAACTGATCATAATATCGAATTTTTTCTCATGACTATTATCTGATAAAATATTTTCTTCACGATTTGAATTTAAATTCCAAAGAATACCATTCACAATTTTACGCATATTTTCATCATTTGTTTGATGATTGATTTGAACTAATTTAGTTTTGAATAATTCATTCGATTGAAGTTGTTTAACAATAATGGAATTGAATGAAAGAGCCCATATAATATCGAATGCCATAGGATAATGATCACATAATTCAATAAATAATGATATTTTGTTAGAATTAGCTGTTGTTGTTTGAATTGTATCATTTGATGATAAACTCAAGTAACCTATTTCAAATAATTTATAAAAATAAAACAAGGCATTCATAAAACTCACACTTTCTATATTGTTTTTACATTAAAATCAATTGTCTGCACTTATTTCATAAAGTATCAAATTAAATTTTCATGAAATTTTTCGGAAATAGGAGCTTATCATCTAGTGTAACAAAATCCATAATGTCCTTCATAAAGTTCTAGCAAGACCAAAAAAAAAAAATTTTTGTCGATAACTAATGCTCTAGTATATCTGGATGTACATCGGACTTTGGGACACTTGTGCAGTTTATCACATTAACAAGATTCAAAAAGAAAGATCAGGATGCTTTGAGTTCATGTATCGGATTTTGCTGTTACGCAAAAGTTTCCGTTCTCATCTTCACTTTCATTAGAACAGCTTAAATTTTGGAATATATAGTTCATCTTAGAAGTAATGAAGTCATCATTTCTTGTACTAACTCATTTTGTCTAGAATTAAAAAACACTTCATTTCAATACTCTATAAGAAATGAATGATTATTTAGCTCTCAATACCGGCTTTAATAATATTATAACATCTATAATTATCAGTATGTAAGTCGCACTTGTTAAATCTTAATATTACGAACTGATAAATAAAATTTTGGTATCATACGGGAAATGACTGATTGAAGTTTTTTTTTTTTGCTGGTGACTTTCGGTTGTCATTAAGACAGATTTCTATTGTAGGTGTACATTTTCAATTTGTACAACTGTTTCTTTATCATAATTACACTATTCACTAGTTAGTTCGAGTATCTTCTATAGAAAAAAAACCAAGTCAGGATAAAAATACCTTTTAATAAATATGGAATTGTTATTTTTTTCCATTTCTTTGTCGGATGATTCCATGCTTGTTCAAGAATATGGAAGAAAAATTCACATATATTATCACTAATTTTTAATTCTTTTAATTGTTTATCAGAAAGTATTTCAGCCAGAAATCCATAGGCACAAGCACGAATCCGATCATAGGATGATGTTTGTGCTATGGACCAAAGTATTGCAGGTAAATTTGTTTGTGAACTTATGAAACAATCTAAATCATATATTTGTACCATACCAAATAAAAAAATTAAACTTGTATCCATGAGAACAGTTTCATCATTATAAAATTGAGCAGAAATACGTTCATGAAATGGTTGATAACTAACAAGACGAATAAGTGCAAAAATATGTTCATATACTGTGTCTTTAGATGAAACAATAAGTTCGATATGTTGAGGCTTTTGTCCACCCCACCAACACGATGAACACATGAGACCGATAATATGTGCAATACAAGAAAGTAATTCGTTACTCCACGACTCTACAGTATAACTTTGCACAAGAATAATTTTTGAATAATCTTCACTAAGAAATTTAATAATTTCTTCGCTGGTAAAAGGCAAATTTTGTGATTTCGACCATAAATAAACATTCAATGAAAATGAACATGTTTTCATATAAAAATTTTGTTTGGCAGTAAATACAGATTGTGGAAGATTTGATACACAAAGTTGTTTTAAATAGAATTTGTATTGATTTGTCATTAGAAAATCACGACTCAATCGATTATTGAGATGTTGCATCGTTGGTAAATAGACAATTTCAGAAAGTTGTTGAGCTAAATATGATAGAGTATCAAACCACAAACTGGCAAGTGTTAGAAATGTATCATTGCTTGATTCAATTTGATCAAGTATACCATCAATCCAATCAATATGCGATGGAATCAATAGTGATATTTTTGTATCACACTGAATTCCATTATTATTCGAAATTAATTTGATATTAAATGAATGAAGTACATGAAAGAATTTAACACAATCATCTAAATAGATCCATTGTCGTGAATCTTTACTAAGCATTTGCCATGCCCAATGTTCGATCGTGAGTATAGATTTTAATGATACGGAGATAAACGATGATATTGTTTGAGAAGTTTGTTTTTCGAAAATATCTATCATCTTGATTATCAGATCATTGGGCCAAGGTGAATCAAATAGTGTAGAAACATGTTCTTCAAAATTATTCTCCATTATTTTATGTTTTATACAACAAACCGAACGATATAGTGGAAGAAAACGCGTGATTGAATGAATGGATCAAGTAATGGAAGGTAAACTTTGAAATAATAACACGCCAAATACACGAAACGAAAAAGAAAAATCTGACACTATTCATAATGAAACTACACGCCAGTATGATTGAAAGAAAGAAGCATAAGAAAGATTTTTTTTTTCCTTTTGTTTTTTTGAGTACTGTACGAACGACTGTGTATAGTTCGAGCACGTTGAATTCTACAATAAATGATCTCTTAATGATTCTATGGAATAAAGTAAATACTATCAACGTCAAAATATAATACTCCTCGATATTTTTTGAATATCTCGAGAACGAAAGCAGCTAGAAGCTTGCGATTTTCACCATTCGAAAGAGAAATATGGGAGAAGTAAAACTCTGCCAAATTTGATTGATCACTAATCGACCAATCGTGTGAGCATTTATCGGACATTTTGAAGATTGTCTAGAGGAACTATTTCTCATTGAATTTTAAATTCTAATATGACCCCTCGATGGAGAAAACTGTCCTCTTTCGATCTACGCAAGGTTGTGCTTGCTAGCTTGTTTTGTTTAAGAGCTATAAGCATTTTTCTGAGACCCAAAAAATTGGCCAGGTAACGTTCAATCATCCTAAAATAGGTCACAATAAAGGTAACTAACCACGCTAAGTCTAGTGGTTATATTTCTTTTTAGTTTCAAAGCAATCTGAAGTTAGTGTATCTAAGTTCTTGATTTATCTGTATTCTCATCCATATATTAAGAGAAGTGATACTATCGATAACCTCAATATACTTGCTTCAAATTGCTTTGAAACTAAAAAGAAATATAACCATTAGACTCAGCGTGGTCAGTTACCCCTATTGTGATCTATTTTAGGATGATTGAAGGTTATCCGGCCGACTTCAGGGGTCTCATAAAGATGCTTATAACTCTTAAATAAACAAGCAAGCTAGCAAGCTCAACCTTGCATAGATCGAGAGAAAACAATTTTTCCCATCGAATGGTCATATTAGAATCTATAATTCAATGAGAAATAGTTTCCCTAGACCATCTTCAAAATGTCCGACGAACGCTCACACGATTGATCGATTAGTGACCAATCGAATTCAGTAGAGTTTCATTTTCCCCCACATTTCTCTTTCGAATGATGAAAATCGCAGGCTTCTAGCTGCTTTCGTTCTTAAGATATTCAAAAAATATCGAGAAGCATTATATTTTGACGTTGATAATAGAATCAATGCAGTGACAAAAATTTTTTGAATGGAGTCTGTTTTCATTCACACACTCATAAGTTTATTTCTCTATAATCAGAGATAAGAATCAAAATGTAGAATTCACTTTTTGAAAACTAATAGCAAATAAGAGCTATTAAAACAATTTATTTTCGATCATATTATTTGATCTTTTGAAAAAGATTATTTATTAAATATTACATGAGAGTAGAATATTTTACAAAGAAATTTCAGCTTGATATATCTTTTTATTTACTTTCAGCTCCTACAATTGTCTACAATTGATAGTAAATAGGATAGGTCTCTTGAATAAATTCAATGTCATCATAACTTTCTCAATCTTTCTTAGTCTACTAAATGAAAATCGAACATGCTTGTAGAGTCGTTCAATTTTTTGTAGTATCATTCATTTGATTTTTTCAATAAGAAAGAACCGTTTGTGCATGAACAATAAATATTGTAGCACGAATGATCTCATAAAAATAATGTCAAATATATCATGTGATAAATATCAATGTTTCTCCATCATTTGAAATCTTTCTCATTTTGACTATGAAAACAAAATATTAATTTTAGTTATTTTTCACGCTCGCTATGTAAATAGGAAATTCATAGATTTACCATTATATTTCATAACTTATAGTTTCCCACAATGTATCAATAGTGGTTCTATTCTAAGCGATATAATAAACAATATAACAAACAGTATACATAATACTTCAATTTCTATACATGTTTAAACAGCATTTCGTATTTCATAGATAATAAGTACAATGGCCAACAGTGAAAGAACAAGTGCAGTAACATTCAATATAGTGATCAATTTTAAGACGATACACTCGTAAGTCTCGATGCTGATCGTCTGCAAAATATACCATTGATTCCGTCTTATTAATCCGTTGAAAAAAAATGCTTGAAATGTCGATAGGAAGCAAACACATAATCCAACTGACAAAACGAGTATCATAAATATTAAGTATATAATTTCAATCAAAAGAATGAGCATCTTTACCAAATTATCCGAGGCCGACCCATTTACCGTCGATTGTAAGAGTCTCAATAAAAGTACAAACAATCGTCAAACACAGTAGAAAAAAAGACGTTGTTCTTTGTTACCAAAGTCAAACATGATGACTAATTGCGTAGTCGCAATGTACGACATGAATGTTATGTTGACTCTTCAACATTCTCCTACTCAAAGTTCGACCAGTGATAGCAGAAGCATGCGTATCATTTTAGTTGTGACTATCACGAAATTACTGTTGAGAAAGTTTCAAAGTTCTTGTTCATTGGGATAGTCATGACAGTGAATTTGATGAAATATCTTGTGATATGGCATCAAATGTTCTCAGAATAGTATTCCAGTGTGATTATTAATCGATGGTAAGATTTTCAATATCAGTTCGCAGACAAGTTTGGCGAATAAATATATTGAAAATGAAATATATTTCAGTCATTAAAATCTTATAAAGATAATGATAAATTGCGAAGAATAACGTCTTATTTCAGTTCATTTTGATCTATCAATTGATTTTAATCAATCATCAACACAATTCTTTGGTACAAACAACAAGAAGTTGAATGAGAAAATAATGAGGAATATACTGTCGTTAAGGCCTCCCCTCACCCAAAAAAAGTCACTTTTTGTCAGAATCATCGAAACTGAGATAAATACAAGGAAAGATAGCCCGCCATCAGATCCTTCATAAACAAGAAAAATTTTTACTCAACACCTCTTTTTTCCAAAAAACTTTTGAAGATTTCTGTCGACCTCCATTCGAAAAATAAGCTGTTTTCAACAAAAAAAATAAAAAATCTTTTTCGGTTTTTTCTCCGTTTATAGTTTCTCAAGCGTATTTTCCAAGTTTCTCTGTGGATACTCAGTCAATGTATTTGTTTATTTATGTTTTTGTTTGAAAGAGCGTGTCAAGACGCAGCGCAGTACAGAACGCTTTTTTTTAATTAAGCTTTTTTAAAATTATATATACAGACATTTATATAACTCGACACCCATTTTTTAAGGGTTTTTTGAGTCATTGAACTTTCGATCCCTTTTTTTCTCGAAAAAAGTAAGTATTCAAAAAAAAAGGGCTCTGTACTGCTCTGTATCCTGACATGCTCTTTCAAACAAAAGAAGATTTAAAGACATCACATGGACCTGGGCTGAGAATTTTGGAAAACCCAATTTGCTATTTTTGACCCTTGTTTGGCTGATATTTCTGCCAAACATCATGATATTGGGCTGAAAATTTCACCATAGCTTTTTCATAACAGCCCCAACATATCCTGAAAACTTCATGTTCTTTAGACGTTTCAGGACTGAGATTGATTTTTGGGTGGGTGGGGGGAAGGGGGTCTTAATATGTGCAAACTTCTTGAAGCTGATGGAAAAATTAGCCAAAAACATAGGACAGAGACGTTTAATGGTGTATTCAGTTGAATCGTAGAAAAGAGACATTATCTAGTGTGATCAATTTCGACTGAAAGATAAAACAACGACACTCTTCGAATATTTGCTTTGTGCAAGGCGGATGAACTACTATTTTTCAATTATTTTATAATTATGTCATAGAAAATATACGTTTTTCACATATGATCTTCGTACCGAAATTTATTGATATTCAAAACTTTGAATTTTATTCCGTATATTTGTGAGCTGTGAGACTACAGTTTTCGCTCATTTTGGAAGTCGAATAGGATCGAATAATAGAGAATAATGAAAAGAAAAACAGTTTCAAAACAACACACCAATCAAGTAGAATCAGATATAGAGATTAAGACAAGAAAAACTTATTAAATAGTAAGTTAAAGGGAAATATTGAATCAAATTTAAAATAGTTGTGTGCTTAGTAGTTTCATACAAACATCGAGTTGATTGAGCTGTTCAATAACCCATACGCCTAACACGCCTTTGTTGACGTGCGTTAGCCTGAATTTGATTCGGATTGTATATTTGTGCAAAATGGCTTATAAATGCAAACATGCCAGCAGCTTGAATGGGTAATAGAACAGCATACAATGCTGCATTAGTGGCAGCAACAGGAACACGACAGGCCTCTTCAAAATCTTTGGCCGTTATAATGGAGACACTATCATCGATCGTAGTCGTCGTTGGGGTCGTCGTAGCTGGTCAATAGAAATCATTAAAACAATCAAATGAGAACAAAATATATTTACCAGTTGTCGAAGTTGTCGTGGTTGATGTAGTCACTGTAGTCACCGTAGTTGTGATAACAGTAGTGGTAGTTATCACAATTCCTGTTGTTGTCAAATTTGGCTGCGGTGTGGTGGTACTCAATGGCTATAGATGACAAAAAAGAATCGATATGAAAGAAGTCATAGACAGCAAATATCAAACGAACAAACCCTTGTTGTCAATGTATGAGTTGTTGGCGGCGTCGTCGTCGTTGTAGTCGTACTACTCCGACTTGTCTGCCAAATATTGAATCGCCAATAGGCGTTGCCTGATTGAGAGTAGAGAAAAGTACAAGAACTTTTGAAACTTACAAAAAAAAAATAAACGAACTTATAATTGGAGCTGATTCTGGTCCACAAAAAACATTGCCACTCACAGCTCCACTGTCGAATAGAATGTAATAAGTCTCGCCTTCTGTCCATGACGGATTCGGAACAGTAAAAATGACAGTAGTTCCAGTATAAATAACCAATGGAGACCATCCACAATCAACCTGCCAGACCAATGTATTGTTGGATAACAAATATATTTTAATATATGTACCATTACGATTGGGACGATTGACACCGGCAGTTGCTAAATTAGAGAAACTGAAGGAATTCCGAAAGGGAAAATAATCAGTCAATTTACCAGTGATACTAAAAGTCGAGTGATTCGAAAAGACAGTGCCCAATGGAGAAGCAGATCCTATTTGAAAGAACAATCTTATATGAATTATAAAGCAATAGATCACAACTACCTTGAACAGTAATAGGTGTATTCAATTCAGGTGATCGATATCCGACTACAAAAGTAAAACAATATTGTGATCCTGTTAGTTGACGTTGATCGATTGCTGCCGCACAAAAGACCTAAATCGACAGTGTAGTTATAAATGAGAGACAAAATTTATATGGCATATACCTGTGGCCCATATTGATCAGTAACAGGAATCCAACTGAGAGTAATGTAATACTGATTGGTTGTACCACTGACAAGTGCGACGGATGTCTTGTTCATATAGAGAGGCGACGATGTGACGAATTCAACAACGGAGTCTCCAGAACAATAAACCTGGGCTACGACACGTTCACTGACGAGTGAGTTGATATCGACACCTATAACAAACATGTTATACGAACTAGAAGACTCATGTGATTGCAACATGTTTAACCTATGCAAGCTCGATTTGGACGATCGCCAATGATGCTGGGAACAGTAGCGCAAGCTCCTGCTGCTCGTTTGTATACAAATATAAGCATTTGAAGTGGCACTGAACTCAGCCGTGTTGTGGTGCTGATCCACGGAGCAAAATCTTCAACCATTATGGCTGCTACATAAGTACTTGTTTGTCGATTTGCAGAGATATCAGCCGAGCGACGAACAGCGTACCAAGTCATCGTACAAGTACTAAATAGATGAATGAGATCGGCAAAACGTTTGATAAAAACAGGATTTTCGTCGTAGATGTGCGTATTGGCTTCTGATTCAATACGAATTTTGTGAGCTGATCAATTTTGAGGAGAAAAATACAGGTAGTGACTAGATGCAAGTCACTTGGAAAATGTCAGCTACTTCTTACAGAGACTCGGTGAAAAACAACAGCACATACAAAGGATTGGGATCTTTAAATGTGGTGACACGCATTTGTTTGTGCATTGACACTCAATGCCAAGTTCAAATTTGTCAATGTCGATAAGAAAAAATCATGTTTAGTCTTACAACTGAGCCTTACTGTGACATAGACCAAATCTTGATAGAACTTCTAGTTTGAATCGTTCAATAAACAATCTTGCGTATAGTTTCACTCGTTACTTTTTGCTCAATCTATCCAGTGGCTGAGAAAAACGAGTATGATCTCTCCGCGATGATCATCCAATATGGATGGATTGTATTTAAGCAGTCCAAAGAATTCCGTTTCATTCATTTCAATATCGGATAGCGAGAACATCAAGTAATATTGAGAGTGAAATATTTTTTCGTTATTCATGTGCAAAATTTCTTCTTATGCTATTCGTTTACTACACATTGTAACTAATCGTCAACATAATTCTTGTTTCCAATATTTCAACTATCAGAAATTCAAATTTTGAGAACTTGCTATGAGAGATATCACCATTATAGGGAAATGGAAAGCTTGATGTAAAAGAATGCGTTTTTCTGCAAGTAAAGATAAGGAATGTTCTCAGAAGAAACGATTCACAAATAAATATATTATTGCAACTTTCTCTTAGTTGTTTTTACCTTGCTGAAATTGTCGCGCCCGGTAAATTACCACAGACATCAAGACATTCCGTTCCGTATCCGTAAGTGTCCGAAGCAAAGCGACATGATAACGTTTGTCCAATATCCCAATCGGCAGCAGGAATCTGAATAGTGGCCGTCTCATTTTCAATCACACGAACAATCGGTAGCGAGCCCGTCACTAAGGAAGTCTGTCAAAGAAACGAAATGCAGAAAAAGATACTCTTACCGGGTGATGAATTGATTGGATACACACCACTCAACTTAATATGTGTGCCCACGTACCAATCACTTGCACTGCTGGCTGAATTTAACATGAGAATGACTGTGGCCCAAGCGGCACTTGTAAAGGCAATGTCTATATTGGTAGTACTTGACAGATATTGTTTTGCGTAATATGCTCCGCTGCTACTATCCAGCTGAGTACTGAAGTCAGTACATAGTAATGTATGTTGTATCGTGCTATACTGACTTGCCGTACAGCCAGCATTTGGTGGTTGACACGACAGATCAGGGGCTGCTGTTCCTCCTGCGTCAAAGTATGAAAGTCGATTATTGATGGTACTCTGACTGCAAGCATAACGTCCCGTTAATGTGAATGAATGTTTTTCTGAGATCAAAATTTCAATAGGCGACCCTGTAGCATTTGGATTGGTCGGTTTCCATGTTATTGTCCCTCCTTTGTAATGGCCAGACCAAACTTTCGGTATTCCTACCGCGATAAATAGTAGTAAGAAA